CTGTCTTATAGCAATGGTGGTGCTGCTAGGCTAAAGGGGTGGGCAAGAATACTGGGCTGGGCCACCAGCAAGGCGGAAGGAACTCTGGGAGATGGCTTCTCCAGGGACCTCCTCCATTTGGCTGAGACAGGGCTGAGAAAGCTGGGAGAGCCTCCCTACACCTGCTTGATGCTGGGCCAAGTAGACTGTTGCACTGGCAGTGTGCAGAGAAGCACCTTCAAGGCGGATGGAGTGTCTGGGGCCTCTGAGAGTGCCTCAACTGTTGGGCTGAGGGATGACTAGGGAGGTATCACTCACCTGCCCATTCTTCTGCAAAGATAGCTCTCTGCCCTCTGTCACCTCTCCCACTGTTGGCAAACCTTTCAGACCCCTGCCTGTGCTTTGGGTCTTGACAGGACTGGCAGAGTGGGCCTGATCTCCCACAAGCAGCTGGAGTCTCGGCCTCCCAGAGTGCTCCAACTGTGCCTGTGTCAAGCCCTGCTAATCATCATAACCCAGTGCAATGTGGATTTCTGCTCCCAGAACAGATCTCCAGGGCCAGATGTGCAGAGTTCTTGTGCACTTATCCCCTCCCCACCTTGGTCCTCTTCCTGCCGCCTGTGGGCTGGGATGAGGGAAGGGTTCGGGTCTGGCCTCATCATGGCTCTGTCATTTACCATTTTCTGTGTGGTCTTCTTCACTGGGTGTTGTTGGTCTGTTCTGCAGTCTTCAGGTCATTTTCAGGTTTAGTTGTATTTGCTGTAGTTGCTTCCTTGTTGTGTTTGTGGAGGAGGCCTTCCTACTCTGCCATCTTTATTCCCCCCTCTGTGTTGGCTCCAACATTCATTCCCCCTTCTTTTGGTGACCTGATTTTCATTTGGGTATCTAATCCTCTTTGACTTAGCCCATGTGTTTGTAGGAACTTGACACCTATCTCTAGGAAAGGGGAGGCATATGCAGCTACATAATCCTATCACCTGCCAAGATTTGGTTCAGAGGTGGACATGTGGGTTGATTTGGGCCAAAGATACTGGAAAAGTGTTTTAATGGCAACATGTAAGCTAGAATCTTTATTTTTCTCATCTTCTGGGTTGTTTTGTTCAGGTAAAAAGCCTGGAACTACTGAAACCATATTGCCAGTATGAGTAAAGCTGGCTTTAGGATGAAGTGATACCATGCAAGAGAAAGCAAAGAAAAGTGAGAGTAGCTCTTAAGTGTTCTCGCCACACCAAAACTACAAAAACAAAAAGTAACTATGTGAGATGAGATGATGAGATTAGCTTGACTATGGTAATCATTTTGCAATGTATATGTATATCAATCCATCACACTGTATACCTTAAATATATACAATTTTTATTTTTGAATTATACCTCAGTAAAGCTGGGGAAAAAAGAGTGAGAACCTCTTTGCCACTGAATCAAGTAACTCAGAATCCTGAACCACCACCAGACTTCTAGTCAATAAACAGTCAAAAAACTGAAAGCTACTTTGAGTTGGATTATATGTCACTTGTATATAATGCATGCCATCTAATAAAAGGGATAAGGAAAGAGCTTAGGCTAAGAAGGCCAAATCAAATTGTCCATCACTTTGAAAGAGTTGATCTGGGAAGTAGAAACTAGGAATATGGCACAGGACAGGAACTGGAGGTACTAAGGTAGAGTCAGGAGAGTTTAGAATGTTGGACAGGAGATAGTAGAGCTAGGAGAAATTATTTGAGTTGAAAGGTGGTTTTTGAAGGTGGGAGGAAAAAGACTAAGGACATCAAGCTGGATCAGAGCTTCTGGATGCTCAATAAACCCATCTCTGAAAAAGGGGTCAATACAAGTACCTTAAATATTATCATCTTTGGCTTTGAAAACCAGATTTCCCTCCTAATGAATGCACAAAATGTGAAAGCTTTCTCCCACAAAAATGAATTTCTATAGGAGTTGCTTTCCCATCATATATAACTAGAAAATCAAACAAAATAATATGGAACAACTACTTTCAGATATTGGACAACAGATAGTCCAGGACCACAAACCCTAACAGAAGGTAAAGAAATGAAGTGAGGTTTGTGATCACAACAATATTTCCCTGGAGGCAGTTTTCAGGTCACGGTGCAAGGAAGGAAAATCAGAGCTGAGCCTGGTGATCTTATTGATTAGAATGATAGATCAGTTTAAGAAAATCCAGTCAGCTAGAATTTGTGGGCAGTGTTGGAGAGACAAGAGCTGTACTGAGAGAGGGCTTCAGAGATCTGCAAGAGATGTCTCTTCAAGTCTTTGGCTGAGTACTAATCTCTGCATGCACAAGAGGAAACTCATTGAGGCAAGAGAAAGAAGAATCAGAAATCAATAGTCCACATGATTCTTGGAGTTCACCTAAAGCTAAGAATAGTTCATATTCTTACAGATTGAGTGGAGAGGGCTCTTTATGCACATGGCATTGGGTAGAGTCCCCGGGAGTGTCATGCCTTATTTTTTAATTATTTACTTATTAAGGTATCATTGATACAGTCTTATGAAGGTTTCAC